GCAAAAAGCTGCAAAAGGGTATTTGTTCTCATCCTAAAATCCTGTCAAGTGTCTTGTGTTGCTGCACCTTTTACCTCAAATGCATCAAATGAATCATAAGTAATCATACTACGGGTTTTTGTGTTCACAACTAAAGCAACATGTTTGAGAAGTCTGCTCTTTGTCTTCTTTCCCGCCACAACCAGCAATCAGTTAAAGGGACATGCAGAAAAGATTATGYACAAGCTCATCCTGTTCCCTCCTTYGTTTCCGGTTCTCTGTCTTCCTGATATTCCCCATATGGAAATCTGACCTGAATGTGGCGTCRCTAAGCAATACAAGCATCCGCTGACTCCGTGCTTTCAAATTGTCCCCTCATTTGTTTTATAATGTGATTAAAGATGATTCCCCCCCACCTCCTTGGCCCGCCTCTGCAGGCTGCCTCTGTTCCACAGAAGGTACGCCGTCTCAAACTGTTGGTTAATAAATGKAGCAAGACATATTCAGTGTTTAATCAGGCTTCAAATAAAAAATACTGAGGACTTCAAGTTKTCAAATATAAGTTCTGAGTCTGTTTTTAACACGTCTAATCCTCCCGCAGCGTTTTATCTCGACATGGCAGAAAATGGAAGCTCGTAACTTGGGTCGACTTCACTTTTCCAACTTTGAAATCAAACACTGTCCCTCCCCTGTGTGAGGCTAATCTCCTCAGCCTGCATACCAGAATATAGATAAACACTGGTGAAGGAGTTGGAAGTAAACATTACTAGCAAGTGTGGGGGGCAGATGGAAAATATCTATGACCTGTTAATCTGAGCAGGCAGCAAAAAAACCAGGATATAATGTGTGTCTTTGTGCTCCATTCAGAGGATGTACAGCACTGACATGAGTCATTTATTGACYAAAACCGTAACGGTACACCCACTGAACTACTAATCAGATCAAACTGTCAGAGAAAGAAATATAACTACTCTGATATTTAATGATCCTTTTAGGGTTTCACTGTAATAAAATCAAGGGTTTTGTGGGAAAACATGAAARGCATCGAGAAGTAAATAATATTCAAATAAAAAGACAAATTAGCATTGACATCATTCTAGCTGCAGATGGGACGATGTTAACAAGAACTTCAGGATGGTAATTGCCATCTGGAACAAAGATTTAAACAGTTTAGGATCTTGTTCAACTTTTTATTCCCTGTTTATCCAGTCAAATTAAAGTTTTAGCCCTTTTTGACAAGTGTGTCATTTTTAGTAAAGTACCAGTACACGCTAATGGTTCTGTGGCATTATAGAGAAGTACAAAATCGTTCTAAAGTCACATTTTTATAAACGTTTCTATGTGGATTTTCAAAGTATCTTATTGGAAAAGAACAAAAGTAAGTTGCAAAAACAAAATTACTTTGTAAAGTGTTGGCATGGCGACCTTTTTGTTKGCTAAAAAATAGTTACAAGTAGAAAAAAAGACAACACAGTCTTGGAATATATATATTATTGTAGCATTTCATTGTTTGACTTTAGCTTTACAACATGATAAACCAACATCTGTTTGCTGTTTCTGAGTAGCTCGCAATTTCAAAAATAAAGCAAAATAAAATATTTTTTTCACAATTACCARTTTGACAGATGACAATTCAATTACTACACTACACTCTGTGCCATGAATATACAAAGTATTTGTAGGTTTACATACAGTGAAACGAWCATGATCTGTAGATCTACAGTGGGGATGAAGGGAGAATCATACCTGCTTAAATTTAATGGAGCCCTAAGAGGGCTGCCACGATTAGTCAACTAGTCATGATTATTGTCCACTATTAAAATCATCAACTAATTTAATAGTTGATGCATCATTTTTTCTAACTTTGTTTTTCTCTCCAAACTGCTGTGGCACCTTCCACTGCCACGTCTGCCTTTCTGACCTTGACACAAATGCACAGAAAAAAATACAACGTAAAAAAACCCAAAAAACTACGCATCTACTATTAAATTAGTCGTTGACAATTTTAACAGTTGGCATAATCATGACTATTCAACTAATCATGGCAGCCCTAGACCCTAACGTGATCCTTGTCCAGTCAGAGGTGGCTAATCTGTTTTTGTATTTCTAAATTATGCAAAACATAAAAAATAAAACCCAAAAAAAATATGTTAGATTTTAATAAAAAGGTTATTTATGAATGATAAACATGATAAACACAGCATTTCCAACAAAACCTAAGTGTGGCAATTTGTCATGTCAAGGCAGTGTGAAACTGCAGTAAGAACCCAACCTCAAGTCCAGTGTGTTTTTTATTACCACAACATCTGGACATATACTTAACTCCATACTTATTGTAGCCCTTTATTATTATTTTTTCCGTAGTTTATACCATCAGTACAGAGCTACAATACAAATGTTAGTTATTTACTTGTTCATACAGGGTCTTTTAAAATGGACTGTAAACATGTTTCTTATTTTGTTGAATACGAACTTAAAGGGATCCATGATTAGTTGTAACATTAGACTTTATTTGATAAACATATACACTCACCGGCCACTTTATTAGGTACACCACGCTAGTAACGGGTTGGACCCTCTTTTGCCTTCAGAACTGCCTCAATTCTTC